CCACAGCTTCATCAGACCACACTTTGAGCTCCTCACTGCAGGTTTCGAGAGCTTTAGTCTCTGTCTGTAAGCAGGAACCAGATGTATCATGGAGTGATCTGAGAAGCCGAGGGCTGGCTTGGGAACAGCGCGAAAAGCTCCGCGCACGGTGGTGTAACAGTGATCCAGAGTGTTCTCCTCTCTGGTCGGGCATTTGATAAACTGTCTGTATTTGGGTAATTCCTGGCTCAAGTTTCCCTTATTAAAATCCCCCAGGATAATAATCAGAGAGTCCGGGTATAAACGTTCCATACACAGTACTTGCTCTGCGAGTGCGCGCTGAGCCTCGCGCGCGTCCGCGCATGGCGGTATGTAAACAGAGGCAAGAATGAATGAAACAATTTCCCGCGGGGAGTAATATGGTTTACAATGAATGAAAAGATATTCCAGAGCAGGAGAGCAGTGCTTGGAAATCACTGTCACATCGTTACACCAGTTTGTATTGACGTAGAAACACAGCCCTCCGCCTCTGCTCTTCCCTGAGAGCGCACAATGGCGATCCGCGCGGAACAGCCCAAAGCCCTGCAGCTCCAGAGCACAGTCCGGGATCCGCTCATTTAGCCAGGTCTCAGTGAAGCAGAGGACACAGGATGTGGCGAAGTCCTTGTTTCTTCTCATGAGCAGGCTGAGTTCGTCCATCTTATTGCCCAGTGAGCGTACGTTGGAGAGAAAAATGCCGGGGAGAGCCGTGCGCGCTCCTCTCCTCCTAAGACGCACGAGCAGGCCTCCGCGCCTTCCCCTTTTACGGGCCCACACTTTTTTGGCTAGAACATGAACTAAATCAGCCGCAGATGCCAAGAAAACAGGCAATAGGTCCATGGGAACGGTGGGTCGGATGTTCATAAGTTCCTCACGGGTGTAGGAACAGCCAGATGCACAGTTAAAAAGTAAAAACAAAAGAAAAAGAGAGCAGCAAAGAGCCATGTCGACCGTACGAGGCGCCATCTTGTATATAATTGTGAAGGATGTGAAGTGAAATATTATTTCAAAAGACGTGATATAATGAATGCAATTTTTGAACATCAAGGTTAAAGGAGTTATACCCGTTTCTGCAAGGTTAAGGTTTGAATGTTTAGCACCGCCCCTCAACTCGCTCACAGGCTTCTCATTTTCCCTACGCTCTCATTCCAAGGAGCCATCTAGTTGTATTTGCGATCTGCTATGTATGCAAACATTAGCATGTGCGCAACTTCTTGTAAGCTGTACAACAATCACTGATGAAATGGTACAAAAATATACAACTAAAAGATTGCCGCTAGTTCAGCATCCGAATGCAGTCCGAGCATAGATAAACCGCTCCCGCAGGTCTCTCCCAAAGACAAGACTCTCCAGAGGATACGATGTAAGCTAGCTATGTTCACCCGGGCTTGATTTCTTCTTTGAAAATTTTTTCGCTTTAGTTCCCTCTTCTCTTCCTCACTGTTGTGTCGTTTGGGCTGTTTTGCTGTGTTAACACAACTCCTCTTTTACAGCAAGAGGACTTATAGCCAATTCTGCTAACATGCTACTGTGCTTAGCTGCGCTGTAGAGGCCAGAGGAAGCCGCCTGCTCGTAACAGCGCCGCTCCTTATACACAAGCTGAATCAATGAGATCAAGTTTTCAATTAAATTATGGATTATAATACAACTTGTATGTAGTAAGCATTTTTATTAACTAATTTAAAAGAGAATCGGGTGTAGCATCTTTAATGTCACCGTGCATTCCTGTCAAGAGAGACAAAGATGGCGCCTCGTACGGTCGACATGGCTCTTTGCTGCTCTCTTTTTCTTTTGTTTTTACTTTTTAACTGCGCATCTGGCTGTTCCTACACTTGTGAGGGACTTATGAACATCCGACCCACCGTTCCCATGGACCTATTGCCTGTTTTCTTGGCATCTGCGGCTGATTTAGTTCATGTTCTAGCCAAAAAAGTGTGGGCCCGTAAAAGGGGAAAGCGCGGAGGCCTGCTCGTGCGTCTTAGGAGGAGAGGAGCGCGCACGGCTCTCCCCGGCATTTTTCTCTCCAACGTACGCTCACTGGGCAATAAGATGGACGAACTCAGCCTGCTCATGAGAAGAAACAAGGACTTCGCCACATCCTGTGTCCTCTGCTTCACTGAGACCTGGCTAAATGAGCGGATCCCGGACTGCGCTCTGGAGCTGCAGGGCTTTGGGCTGTTCCGCGCGGATCGCCATTGTGCGCTCTCAGGGAAGAGCAGAGGCGGAGGGCTGTGTTTCTACGTCAATACAAACTGGTGTAACGATGTGACAGTGATCTCCAAGCACTGCTCTCCTGCTCTGGAATATCTTTTCATACATTGTAAACCATATTACTCCCCGCGCGAAATTGTTTCATTCATTCTTGCCTCTGTTTACATACCGCCATGCGCGGACGCGCGCGAGGCTCAGCGCGCACTCGCAGAGCAAGTACTGTGTATGGAACGCTTATACCCGGACTCTCTGATTATTATCCTGGGGGATTTTAATAAGGGAAACTTGAGCCAGGAATTACCCAAATACAGACAGTTTATCAAATGCCCGACCAGAGAGGAGAACACTCTGGATCACTGTTACACCACCGTGCGCGGAGCTTTTCGCGCTGTTCCCAAGCCAGCCCTCGGCTTCTCAGATCACTCCATGATACATCTGGTTCCTGCTTACAGACAGAGACTAAAGCTCTCGAAACCTGCAATGAGGAGCTCCAAAGTGTGGTCTGATGAAGCTGTGGAAGAGCTGCGCGCATGCATGGAATCTACAGACTGGGACCTTTTCAGAGCTGCCACAGATAGTTTGGATGAATATACGGACACTGTGACGTCATACATTCACTTCTGTGAGGACAGCATCATTCCAACAAGGACCAGGGTCATCTATAACAACGACAAACCCTGGTTCACTGCTAAACTCCGGCAGCTCAGGAAAGCAAAGGAGTCTGCTTTCAGGGAGGGGGACCGCAGCGGCTACAAAGCAGCTAAATATCAGTTCAGGAGAGAACTGAAAGCAGCCAAGTCCCGGCACAGAGAACGACTACAGGAGCAGTTTGGTAACAACGATACTGCTTCTGTCTGGAGGGGCCTACGGGAGATCACCAACTACAAACCCAAAGCCCCCCCCTGTGCTGACGACCACAAGCTAGCTGACGATCTGAACTTATTTTTCAGTCGCTTTGATGCTGCCCCTGACACCTCTCCCTCCCCCACCCCCCACTACTCTAACAACCCACCCATCAGCCCTGCCCCCAGCCTAACAATAGCCGCTAAAGAGATTAAACAACTCTTCCTGAGGCTGCACCCCCGCAAAGCTCCTGGCCCGGACCACGTGTCTCCGGCCACTCTGAGACACTGCGCCAGTGAGCTTACTCCTGTGTTCACGGACATTTTCAACACCTCTCTGCAGTCCTGCCATGTCCCGGCCTGCTTCAAATCCTCCATCATTGTCCCCGTCCCGAAGAAGCCCAGGATCACAGGACTCAATGACTACAGACCTGTAGCACTTACGTCTGTCGTCATGAAGTCATTTGAACGCCTGGTTCTCTCCCATCTCAAGTCCCTCACCTCCCCCTCCTGGACCCCCTGCAGTTCGCCTACAGAGCCAACAGATCTGTAGACGACGCCATTAACCTGGCCCTCCACCACATCCTACAGCACCTGGACTCCCCGGGGACCTACGCCAGGGTCCTGTTCGTGGACTTCAGCTCTGCCTTCAACACAATCCTGCCATCCCTGCTCCAGGACAAGCTCTCCCAGCTCAACGTGCCCGATTCCACCTGCAGGTGGATCACTGACTTCCTGACAGACAGGAAGCAGCGAGTGCGTCTGGGGAAGAATGTCTCGGACCCTCGGATTATAAATACAGGAGCCCCACAGGGCTGTGTTCTTTCTCCCCTGCTCTTCTCCCTGTACACCAACCACTGCACCTCCAGCCACGGCTCCGTGAAGCTGATCAAGTTCGCGGACGACACCACCCTCATTGGACTCATCTCCAACAACGATGAGTCCGCCTACAGGAGGGAGGTGGACCGGCTGGTGTCCTGGTGCAGTGGTAACAACCTGGAGCTGAACGCCCAGAAGACAGTGGAGATGATTGTGGACTTCAGGAAGAGCACTGTCCCCCCGCCCCCACCCTCCGTGATGGACTCCTCCATCACCTCTCTGGAGTCCTTCCGTTTCCTGGGCACCACCATCACCCAGGACCTCAAGTGGGAGCCGACCATCAGCTCCCTCATCAAGAAGGCCCAGCAGAGGATGTACTTCCTGCGGCAGCTCAGGAAAGCCAAGCTGCCTGCACAGATGTTGGTGCAGTTCTACACGGCCATCATCGAGTCCATCCTCACCTCCTCCGTCACCGTGTGGTTCGCTGGAGCCACAGTCAGGGACAAACAGAGACTACAGCGCATTGTGCGCTCTGCAGAGGAAGTGATCGGCCGCAGCCTTCCATCGCTGCAGGACCTGTACGTCGCCCGAGCTCAAGGCCGGGCTGGTCGTATCACAGCCGACCCCTCTCACCCTGCACATGGACTATTCCAACCACTCCCCTCAGGCAGGAGGCTGCGGTCCATCAGGACTAGAACCTCCCGCCACAAGAACAGTTTCTTCCCCTCTGTTGTTGGACTCTTGAACACTTCTTAACCTGTCCCCCCGCCCTTTATAAAGTCACTTTACTGCCCATCATACGTCACTTTACTTCACTGTACTGCTGTCACCTTACATTGTGTGCACCATGTGCACTTGTATATTGTAAATAGTAACTGTAACTCTATTTTAAATTTAAATGTATTCTTTAGAAGTGTTTTTTATTCTTATTTTTATTATCTCTTTTTGACTGTTGCACTGAGCCAAAGCAATTTCCTAGTCTGTGACCTCCTGTTACTTACGTGGCAATAATAATGATTCTGATTCAGATTCTGATTCTGATTAACCAGGACACGTTGACATATTTCTGTAGCAGATACGTAACCTAAACATTTTGTCTGTGTTTGACAGTGGAGCAGATCCGCCAGCGCAGGTGTAAAGCAGCGTTTAGTTACATCCCACAACATGAAGACGAGCTGGAGCTGAAGATTGGCGACATCATCGAGGTCATCACTGAGGTAAAAACATGTGAAAACTGATTCTATGTAGGAATGGCCACTACTCCGACTCATACAATGGTAGTATTCATTCAAGGTCCTGTACAACATCAAGTGCATACATATGTCACTAATTTGCCTTTTTTTTGGTTTGATCATAATATCAAAAGTATTCTGAAGAGATTAGATTTGGAGTTGATTCTATCTTTGATATTGTGGCCACAGTTTCCCTGAGATAAAAAGAGACACAAAGCTGCCAATTTACAGTAAAGGCCCCACAACCGTTGTTCCTATGATGATATGTCACATAAAGACTCAGGACACCATTGCAGTACATTCACATTTGTCTTTGCAACTGTATATTTTTGTATTTATTTATCTATTTATTTGATAGGGACAATGCACATTCTTGAACATCATAATAAAACACACTGAAAGCAAACACTGAGATATTTCGAAATTAAAACAAAATATATCAAGTCTCCAACAGCACCAAACTCAAACCAGGACCAAACCTACAGTTCATTTTGGTGTGTAAACTATTCTATTTTATTTTTGCCTGCAGGTGGAGGAGGGCTGGTGGGAGGGAGTACTCAATGGTAAATCCGGGATGTTTCCCTCAAACTTCACCAAAGAGATCATTCTGGACTCAGACATACCATCTGTAGACACGTCACAGGAAGACCTCCGCAGCGGACGCACAAGTGAGCCACCTCTATGTACTGCATAACACAAGCATTTGTCATGTTTATTATTGCCACTGTCATTATTTACAGTTTAAGGTCTTCTAAATGTTGATTATACTTCTCAGATGTTCCCGTTTCCTGTGATATAGTTGTAGTGAGAACAAAAAACGCTTTTATAGGACAAACTGTCAGAATACTTTGGCATCTCATTTTTTAAGAAGTTAGATATTTTGTTTCCATAGAAAATAAATTGATAAATATGTATAATGGATAGCTTTTTTGCCGTTTTTGTATACATAAGAAATGGCATGGCAGACTTTTGTAAATAATGTAATTTCAGTGAAATTGAAATTCTCAAGCCTAATTTGGAAAAGTTTTATAAAGACAAAATGCAAGTCTGTCCCTGACGTCAAATGCCTTCATCAGATTTATCATTATGAGGTAATACGGGTGTTGTGTGTTAGGTAAAGACAGCCCTGGCAGTGAGAGCGATGGAGCTGACAGCCGCTCAGACACAGGATCAGTGGAGATTCAGCCCAAGAAGGTAATCACTGTTTACTGTATATACTCCTATCTCCACAGTGTTATTACAGGGCGGACACCTGGACTGGGAGAAGGAGCAGAATGCATTGTGTTTGCTTAGTTAAACATTTTATAGATACTGCATATATATTGCTGATAAAATAATTTGGCTGTTCATCATTATAATCTTATGACCTGCATCTTCAATCATGCATGTTTAGTAATCCTGTATTGTCATGTGCTTGCAATCAGAAAAATTCAAAGATCCAGTCTCAATAATACACAAAGGGTAATTTATGTCATATTAACTCCTATCCTTGTTACAGAAAATGCCACTATGAAGCAGTGGGCTTACAGTATCTGTATTAGACTGGTTCCATTTTTAGATCACGTGGCTTTATTGTAAAAAATAAACAATAATAGTGTTGTCAATATCTTGCCAGTAAGACTTGTTTCTGCCATTATTAATTTATACACATTAAAATATCTGGACAGTGGTCATCCAGCTCCCTATAGAACAATAGAACAATGGCTCCTATGTCTTTGTTATTATTAATATTACAGTGTATGGAGTGAAAGAATATAGAAGACATGTGAAGCATTTTTGAGTGTCCTGAACAGCGCTATATATATATTATTATCATTAATGCATTTCTTGTGTATGAACGGTTTGATTCTCTGATCTGTTGTTGGTGAATTGACAACCTTAAGTCCTCAGACGACTGCTGTTGAGATTTACGGCTATACATATTAATTTTTTTCAGTTTTCTCAATTAACCTAAATTTTTTCTCTTTATGTTTTAAACTTTGCAGGTGAGAGGATTTGGTTTTGGCGACATTTTCAAAGACCAGCCCATTAAGCTCCGACCGCGATCTTTAGAAGTGGACACAGAGGCAACCAAGGTTAGAACTAATACATTACACCTGCTCACCTTATAAACAATGTTGCTTTTATTGTATGTAGAGCTGGAGATCACAGATCAATCCCTTTCAATGTATCAGAGCTCTTCACAAACTAAAGCTGTGTTTAGAGAGATTTTTATGTTGTGTTCGCTTTAACTGATCCTGGAAAAAACTAATGAGCAAGAACATGACAAATCAAACATAAGTCAGAATTTTTTTGTAAGAAACAGGAACTTCAGCTGCTCCTTTTTCTTGAGAGGAAGTGTTTTTTAGCGGGGCTGGACTTGGAACAAAAATACAGGCCGGGCATTTTTGCCTCCTTGACGGCCTATACTGTGAACATTTTATTTAAATTATTACCGTATGTGGAAGCAGAGAGGATCAAGATGTATGCAGTTGTACGCGTCACAGCCGCCGTAATGTAATGAACCGCTCTCATTACAAAGCGGCCGTAGCTGTCCTGGGTCACCTGCGGCCACGGAGGATGCGGAATCCCTTTCGAGTACATACAGCAAACAAATGCCCCGTGGTCACCCGCCTCAAAAATTTCTCAATGGATTTACCCATTTCACACACAAAAAATGTAATAAGAGGGCGGCCCAAATATGGGCATCGGCCCTCTGGCATTGGGCTGTACGCCCGATGGAGGTCTTTCACTGCTAAAGAACCTTCCTTTATACACGCTTTCCGTACAGATTCGACATAAGAAAGGACCTCTCATTCAAAACATGAAATGCCAATGTAAATATTCTCAAGATCTTGTTTTAAAGCCTTGGTATCCAACTTTGGAAAAATGTATAAGTTATATTGTTTAAAAGTTAGATACCCCAGCTTTAAGGGCCACAACTAAGATGAGTAATGCATGGTATATTTGTTTTTTTTCAAGGATTATTATAAGATCAACAGGCAGTTAGTTGTTGTGCTGTAGTTTAGACCTTTTCAAACAACAAAATACACAGATTAAAATGTACTTTTTAAACAATGATTATCAAATGGAAATCACAGTTTCACAATTAGATAGGTTCACAATTGCTGGTTGAGAGGGAGTGATATAGGAAACAAAGTGACGAAAGAAACAGGGTTATATTTGGAGATAGGAAAAGCTTAGACACAGAGGAAGGCGGTAGTTTTAGTGAAGGAGCAAGAGAGAGAGGGGGAGAGGGAGAGGTGGAGATTTTCACTGACGTATACACATCCACACGCGGTAGCTTCCTGCGCTGAGCTGATGTAGCACAAATACAACTGTCTGTCTGTGCTTGGCTGCTCACTCTATTGGCAAAGGTAGGAATTTTATGGAATACTTAAAGAATTGTCTCTATACTGTAACTTTTAACACCAAAAGCTGATAGCTGTTGCAGTTCTTTGAATGTCTATACTAGGACTTCTGTGGTTTATCATTTTGAAATTCAACATGGTCACTACTACTACGCACATTAAGGTTAGGGTCAAGGTGTGATAAATCTGCCTGACTTTGAAACCTCAAAACTTTTTAAATGTGTAATAAAATCCATGTAACGAGTTCCTTTCTCTCAAAACATTTTGCTTCTATCACTAGTTTTCACATGTATTTTTCACCTCTGTCACATCTAAAGATCAGCCCTATCAGCTGTCAGTATGTACAAGATAACATGTGGTCTGATTTGTGCACAAAATGTTACTTTACAAAACTCTATCTTGCGACAAACTAAATATATTCATGAAACAAGAAAGAGTAGGTTCTCCAGCTTTAAAGACATCATTGGATGTTGTGATAACTCTAGCTCTAGCAAGTGTAACTTGTAAATTATTTAGCTTGATCACAGATGGCTTGCTTCTTTTTTGGGGTCAGTTTAAAAATAGCTGTAAGTCGTGTTGTGCTTTCTAGCCATTTATGATTGTTCTGGAATAACATGTTGATGAAGTTCCTCATATTGTCCTGAACCAGCAGTATGATTGAAGTCAAGAAACAAAATGGGGAACTGGAAAGGTCAGACAAAGGCGTTCTTGAGCCCATTGTTTTCCAAGGATTTTGTATGACTTCTATTCTTAATTTTAGTTAAAGACAACTTTAACGTACGTTAAAATTGGGACCAAACTGGGGATGAAACCCTTGACAAATACAGGACAACGCCAAAACTGATGGACCAAACAGCAGGTTTATGGTGCCTTGAAAAAGTACTAATACAAAATTGGCACATATTGTTTAGGCCCACAAACATTTGGACAACTTTGTCAATACACGGGCAATGCATTGGGTAACCCCATTAAAGGATTTCTACAATTCTCAAGAAATTCTAGTATCTTACATTGTTCAACTGGTTTGGATAAAAATATTCTCACGTTAGTGAAGGGTTGTGTTTTAAATGTCTTGTATGGTTTAGTATAGAGTCTGAAAGATGAGAATTGTGTCAGTCCCAATAAGTCAATGTCTGTGTTTTGATTTTTAAGTGTTATTCCTTTTAGTATACAATTCTGTTATAATCGGAAGTACACTTGAAAGGATTTCCTCACTTTGGGGTGACACTTTACTTTTATTGCACAAACTAAATTCTGTTGTTTTTGCAAGATAATTAGCCTCACATATCTCTTTTCATTAAAACCTTGTTAATTATATCCATATCACATTTTGCCATAATAATTGCAGTCTTTTAGTTTTCCCCTCGGACCTAGTCTCCACATATTGGACGTCCACCTCCCACAGCTGTGTGTGTGTGAAGGATGTTAGTCAGCCTGTCCCGCTGTGATCCTCCTGTAACTCTGCTTTAAAGTGACTGCGCTGCCTCTTTGGAGTTTGTAATGAGGTGACTACTGGTCTCTGCGCTTCTGCATCCGGGACAGACCTGTGCTGAGTCACCAACCGCCACATGAATCACTGCTGATCTGTCAGCTCACTGTCCACAGACCAAAGGTGCTCCTATAGTGACTTTAACTAGAGCTCAGATTCAAAAAACTTCAATTCATTTGGAGCATACTGTAATCTGAAAGCAGAACACACAGACTCTCCACAAAAACACAGTGAGTCAGTCCTCACAGTTGATGCAGCAGCAGGTTAAAAACAATACAATACTCAACAATTAAAACACCTCTACCAGATTTCAACAGTTTTATAGTGGAGGACACAAAATAAAAGTTGGAATGAAATTTGAATTGAATAAAATGTAATACAACAGGCCAAATGTAGTATTTCTGATGGTCTGGTATCTGAAAGGATATATAATTCCCTTTTTTTTTTCTTTTTGTCTGAATTTTAACCATTTTTACATAAATGTTCCCCCAATAAATACTGTGCCGAAAATAGTTTATAGTTCCATCCACGCTAATATCTGGAACATCCACTTTGTCTAAATCCTCCTCTCTGCAAAAGCATCTGCAAAAGTATTCCTTTGAGATTACTTGTTGGAATTTCTCCAGTCTGCCTTAGATAATTAGAAACATTTTTTAAAAGCCAGATATATTTTTGTGCCATACAAATAAAGTTTCACCCCTTGATGAGCAAATTGGTTTAAATGAAATGTACTGCCAATAACAAAACATGTTTAAAATTGTGGCCAGAGGATTGTTATTTTTTTTAAACTTAAAATCCGAACATTGTTTGTGGTGGTGTGAAGCCACTTGTCACTTTTTTTTCTATTGTCAAATTAAATTGACAATAGTAACTCAACTAACCCTCATTGTTCATCCCCCAGTTCTCAATAGTGTTGTCTTTCAACATCTCAGTCTTTTGTGGTAATTGTGGTTGAGATTCGTTATCCCTCTCGTACGGTGAAGCTGCTAATTCTTCTTGACAAATAGTCTGTAAATTCCTGGGCTGCCTTGCATGGTTGAGATTTTCCCAGAGCGGCTTAATGATGCTATAAGTGTAATTTTATGACAATGGCTGCAAACAGCCATTAACTATCATTATCAATTTCCAAAATATGGCACAACTACATAGAAGTATCTCAAATTTAACTTAAATTATTTTCCATTCTCAAACATTATATATGAATTAAGAATGTAATTTTTCAAGTGCCAACATTGACTCAAATAAAGGTTAGCATTTGTTTAAGTTTAGTCCTTGGCTGAGTGTAATTTAGCCTGGTTCAATTTTGAGTGACTGCCTCCTACTTCAGACCAAATCTAGCTCCAGTTTGTTGTACTTAATCCATCAGATTTGCATGTCACTAATTCCCAGAGCTGTTAGATTAATTCCAACTGGAACTCGCAACTATAATATCGTAAAGACCACAACATATCCTGCCTATTTATAGAACCGTCTTGGCTTTTATATTTCTCTTCTGTTAAACCTTGCATTCTAGTGTTTGTTCTTGTTTAATTATTTTTATCCCACTCACACATTTAGGATCAATCCACTGTTCTTTTACCACATTTTAAACTTCCTTTGTTTTAATTAGTGGAGTTGCTTCAGTCCTGCACCGGACTTGTCCAAGTTCTGCGGCCGCGGTGTGGCCCTGGTCCTCGTTCTGTAGCATAGGTCCTGGATCTATAGGCTGGCATTGTGTGGTCAAATGTGTTCAAATAGTGTTCAAATTGTGTTCAAACTGTGACTTTTTATATTGGAAACTGAAACATGACAATTTAAGGTTTTACTGTTCTTTGGGCAGTGATCTCGGAAGAGCTTTGTGACCCTGGTATGTGAAAGGAGCTATATTAAAAAACATAATTCTTTTTCGCAAATATTTTTGTTTAAATTGTTGTTTTTTTCTCACAATAACCATAAGTCTAAAATGTAAAATTGTGACTGTTGTTCTCTTTGACAATCAATAAGTTATCTGCATGTACTTGTTACATTTTCCTTTCTTTACTGTATGAGCGCATGTCCATTTTACCATCACTACAACCATAAAGTCCCTTGTAACTGGCTTTGAGCTTTGCTTGTAAACCCTTTAGATCCAAGAACCATGTCTTTTCACCACATGGTTCTTGTTACAAACACGAGGGGGAGCAGGATTGAGTGGGATGTCCCGTCTGAAGTGAACAGAGCAGCGAGTGTTTTTGACAGACCGGCCACTGTCAAAATCTGTGTTTTTAAGGGGAAGAAGATGTTCTCTCCATGCTTCCACAAATATCGCCTCAAAAATCTACTTTAACACTGCTGCCCTTGTGCGTAGGTTCAGTTTTGGTGGACTGATGCAGATACAAAACCAAACTGAAAACACACCGTCCTGCATTACGTTGTGTTGATGCAAGGCGCTGTAATAATAAGCAGGAGATATTGTTCTACTCTCTAAACCGTCTGGGTCTGTCCTCTTCACTTGGGAAATGAGTCCAATTAAATCCAACTGCTTCCGAATCCAAGATTGTATTGTTTTTGGTTTTTGTTGCTGCAGAGGTGCATATGAGTTGTACAATGAAGTATGATGCAGATATGTCACAAACACCCCCTGTGTATTCCATTCAATAGCATCCTTTATGTTTATGTTTATTCAAAAATAAAGTTGATACATCACTTTTTACCAAATGAGTCAGCAAGTTTCTAAGAGAAGACAAACAAAAACAAACTATGAACCCACTTGAAATCCCATAAAGACAAATGCTTGTGTACTTGAACCATAGATTGTATATTTAGGGTGGACTGACCATGTGTGACATCACCATAGTGTTTTGCCAAATGATTTGAACATTCGCCAGCTGGAGCCATTTACTTATATGGTTATTTGTTAGCTCAGCGCTGTAACAGGGGCAGGCAAGCTGGAGCTGGAGCAAAAATGTAAATCATATCACATCATAAAGAGCATTAAAGCACCCCTGGGCGAGAGGAGTTTATTTACATTTGAATGTTCGTCGACATGAGCGCCTTCCTATTGGGCTTCGCTGAGGGTTAGCATTGTCCATCAACTGTATGTACAGTCTATAGCAAGATCCGAGACCGCACTTGTTTGTTTGAGTAGACAATCTCGTTAAAGTAAAGAAAAGACAAATGCATATGCAGTATCAATGCAGCTTGGATAGTTGCTTATCTTTGTTTTGCCTGGTATTCTGCTGATCTTGTCCCACTTTAATCACATCTTCGCTTTACTGAGAGCATTGTGTGTTGTAGAAGTATAAAGTCAGTGGCCCCAAAACCAAGAGGTCAGCCATTCACTCCCACACAGATATCTTCAGATCTAACTCCTCACGTGCTTTGTCAGGGTCACTGTTGCTTTTACATCACTTTCTGCTGATTTGTATTGCTGATAAATCTAACAGTTGGAATGATGTTGGAGAAATGCTAAAGATACAGTATCTATAGTAATGTTGTCATGATACTAACATTACAAACTCAATGTTGATACTCATAAATATAAATACAAGAGAAATATTAGTGTCTTTTTAATGGTACTGCAAGGTTTTAAGGCGGCAGTAGCTCAGTTGGTAGAGTGTTGGCCTTTGAGCCAGAAGGTCGTGGGTTCAAGCCCCGCTCAAGACTTTCACCATCGACTCCCACTGACTACTGTCGTTGTGTCCTTGGCAAGACACTTAACCTCTGGGAAAACCAGCCACAGTGGGGCGGCTGCGGCTGTAAAGTGCCAAACTGCCGTTGTGTCCTTAGGCAAGACACTTCACCCCCATTACCTAGAATGAGTCTGGTGTGTGTGTGAATGGTTGGTGGTGGTCGGAGGGGCCGATGGCACATACTGGTTGCCTCGCTTCTGTCAGTGTGCCCCAGGGCAGCTGTGGCTACATTAGTAGTTTATCACCACCGTGTTTGGAGTGAATGAATAATGACACATGTGAAGCGTCTTTGAGTGTCCAAAAAAGCGCTATATAAAACCGATGCATTATTATTATTATTATTAAATCAGTTCTGAAATAGGTCAAAATAAACTGCTCAAAAAATCTCACAGTTGCTCCTGTTTACTTGGTAGCTTCTCAAATGAGCTCCTACTTTTGATCCCACTGTTACACAAGTTAGTCCCAGTAATAAATGTATGAAGCTTCAAGGATCTGACTGGGAATTTTTATATTATTTGACAGGTTTTAAGTTCAAGTACAATGCAAAACTGTAAGTGATTCATTTAACATTTACACGTTGTATTTTTCAGGTGAACGAGGGGAAAGCATCAACAGCCACAGAAACAATGAAGACGGAGCCAGAATGCAAAACAAGAGGTTCCCACTACAATGACATTTATTACTATTTGGAAAATATTACACCATACAAGTCCATAATGAACTATGATAACAGCCCAGTTGAATGCAACGCTTTGTTTTTGAATGGCAGCAGCCCACCACATGTCTGACCTCACTTCCTATTTCTCTGATGCAAGGTTCCGTCCATTCTATTAGGCTACAGTTGTATTGTGCTCACGAGCTAAGGATTTTTGTATGTGCCTTTTTAGCTTTTGACCACACTGATAAGATAAGCCAAGCATGACTTAATTGTAAATAAAATGTAACTCGTGTATAAGGCAAAGACAAGATTATTTGTATGGCACAGTTCATACAAAAGGCAGCTCAATAGGCTTAACAAAACAAGATAGAAACAAAAAAGATATTAAAAACATAAATAATCACAACACATTCTAACGAGTGAAGATGCAATCCTTCAGTTGTATGTACAGCTAAACAACTGTTTTTAGATCTGTCTTTTGATCAGTTTTATCTGACAGAAAAGAGAGGAGCATCCTCGCTAATAAGCTCTCAGCTCAAATTGTCAAAAGCGACTCAGGGCTCTTTCTCACAAATATGCAAAAGATAAAATGTTTCTGATAAGTTTATTACAGCATGTTGTGGACTGAGTTGTTGTTTTACAAGACTTTCTGTTTGGACAAAACTGTATTACATTTGAAGTAAAACGAGTTATGTACTCCAGCTTTAAGTGTATAGTTGTAGGCGTTGTTTAATGTAATGAGTTCTGGGGCAATAAAGTTTTATGGTATTATTGCAATTTTTTTATTCAATGTTTCTCAATATTGTCACTACTCTATTGTACTGTTTGTTTTGTCAGGGAGGGAGCTGTGTAAAGTCTTATTCCCATACGAAGCACAAAATGAAGATGAGCTGTCACTCAAAGAGGGCGAGGTCATCAACATCATCACCAAGGTAACTGCATCATCCCTCAATATTCCCATTAGATTGAAATCACATTATTTGCAATTTGCAATGAATCACATTCATTTGCAAAGAAAATGTACTTATTGTTTTCATGTTTCAACTGAACCACATTTAAGCTGCATGTCCTGGACTGTGCCACACGGATAAAAATGCCTCTGTCTGTTTAATCAGGATATTCCAACAATAACATACATTTGAAAAGAAAGCATTACACATTAGAATTGGCTGTATAGTTTCACTTAGTGATCCTGTACCCTTGCCTCTCTAACACAAATACACACGCACGCACACACACACACACACACACACACACACACACACACACACACACACACACAGATGAAGTTATTATATATTTTTTTCCCCCACCCTTAGCGCAATGTACTTGCACAATGCTGCAGAATCATCCTCATATCACAGATTCAGAAATTAAAAATGAAGTAAAAACAGTGTGCATGGTTGAGGATGGCTGAGGGAATACAAGTTACTCAAACGCATGTGTTTAAACGTTAAAGGGAAACAACTATAATATTTGATCCCGTTGAAAATTCTGGCTTGATAGAGCCTTAGAAATCTTTTAAATAGATAAACATAATATTAAACATATAGAAAGTGCTTCTAAATTGCATAACATATTTGAATTCATGAACACACTGGAGGAATGGGCATAAGTGTTGTCATATCGCGACCTCTCTTTACTTAATGGGGAGGAGCTGTGGCCTGAGTCTGCCACTGATGATACTCCTGTTGGGTCTCAGGCAGTGAGGGGGGCAGTTTTGTTCCTGATACTGAGAAAAATCAGTTTTGCATCTTTAAACAATGGCCTTAAATTGCGTAAAGTTTGCACATTTAAACTAAACTGAAAGCTCAACGACTGAAAGCTTAAAGCCAATTGTATGCTATGTACCCTAGCATACAATGGGCCTCATTCATGAACCGTTCTTAAGAACAAATTTTCACATACATTCTACTTACAAGGATTTTACGAAGATTGTGGCATTCATGAAATTTTCTCGTATCCAGAATTTCTCTTGGGTAAGTACAAATCCTTCGAGTGCTGAGAAGCACTCTTAAGCACATTCAGTGCCGACATGTCGGCACGCTGGTGTTGTCTTCTTTTGTGAAGCTCAATAAAATACATTACAGTGATATGTCTGTCATGTTGATGTATTTATTTGTTTATTGTAATTTAGCCCATTTTTGTATTCATTTTGAAATGAAATATGCCAACGCTTAAAGTGAAGTCTGTAACTCTAAATGAATTACAAATTTTAGGAAATGTGTTAAATTGACCTCGTGGCCTTAAATGTTGATATAAAATAAGTAATTTTATTATTTCTAATATTACGGGCAAGTCCCGCCTTCCCTGCTCTTAGCTATAGTTCAGAATCCACGGTGCCGTCGAGGTTAACCAATCGAGTCATGCCAAGGGCTGTCAATCATCGGCGCTGATGCTCGCAGCTGCGCGCATGCGCAGTTGTTTGTTTTCGCGGAGCCTCCGAATCAAGCCTCTATTAGGCTCTGGAACTACATGAAAACTTAACAAAGAATTCTGAACATCCGCGCTGAGGTACTTATGTATATTCTGAACCTATATCCATAATCAGATCCTCTGCAGATGTGTCCTATAATGTGCAATTCATGATAATAGCACTTCCTGGTTTGCCGCGATCGATTTTTTGTGTGCATAAAAACATATTTTTTTTCATTAAAACGTTGACAAATAATTTTGAAAACCTCCGTGCATGTGTATTAATAATGTATATGTATAATATGTTCTCTGATTAACATTTCAAAGTGTTACGGAAACGTAGGTGTAGACCAATCAGAAAGGAAGGGAGAGGGAGCTTGCGTCGTTTTTTTCAAATCAAGTACCTCTCTGTCTCTCTTTCTGACAAACTCCAGACAATCACTTTAAAAAAATACATTGGAAATAATGCCCTGTATTAGTGACCCCTTCCTATTTATAGGGGGCATTTCTCCATCCACGGGCCATAGAACAATGGCATCTATACTGCTGCTGCAGGAGGTTGCGGGGTCCGTGCTGACTCTCTACGCTGGTCTCTCCCGTGGATCTATTACGGTCCGTGCTGGTCTCTCCAATGGATCTATTATAGGACGGTCTCTCCGGTCTATGGTTTCTCCAGTCTTTTCGGTCTCTCCTCGGTCCACGCTGGTCTCTGCGCGCCGGTCTCTCCAGTCTATGGTCTCTCCTCGGTCCGTGCTGATTTCTGTGTGCTGGTCTCTCCAGTCTATGGTCTCTCCTCGGTTGTGCATTGGTCTCAGCGCTTGTTCGCGCTGGATCTCCTCCCGCAGGGTCCAAAATATTTTGAGATAAATCTCATATCATTGATTGACTGCGGAACCTTCCGCAGTCAACCATTGGTTTTGTATTTCTTTATTCCGTCATTTTTTTTGACACGTTTCACAGCTTTCACATTTTCAACAATTTCCACAAGTTATACATCAAAACGTTCCACATGTTTGGGAGATTATTGCTATTACTTTTGGGACTTCAGCGATTTCCGGTTTTTCCGCAATCGGACAAAAATCTGCATTGAGAATTCTGCAATGCATTTTAATAGGCCCATGCATTTTAATAGGACTTCAGCTCTTTCAGACATTTCTACAGTTTCAATGATTCAACAGTTTCAAGGATTCAACAGTTTCAAGGATTTCAGCAGTTTCAAGATTTCAAGAGTTTCAAGGACTTCAACAGTTTCAAGGACTTCAGCAGTTTCAAGGACTTCAGCAGTTTCAAGGACTTCAGCAGTTTCAAGGACTTCAGTGTAATCATGCAACCTAATAGGGATTTTTCCATGTAAACCAGTATAATGCAACTTAATAGGGATTTTTCCATGTAAACCAGTATAATGCAACTTAATAGGGTTTTTTCATGTAAACCAGTATAATGCAACTTAATAGGGTTTTTTTTTCATGTAAACCAGTATAATGCAACTTAATGGGGATTTTTCCATGTAAACCAGTATAATGCAACTTAATAGGGGTTTTTACATGTAAACCAGTATAATGCAACTTAATAGGGTTTTTTCCATGTAAACCAGTATAATGCAACTTAATAGGGTTTTTTCCATGTAAACCAGTATAATGCAACTTAATAGGGTTTTTTCCATGTAAACCAGTACAATGCAACTTAATAGGGATTTTTCCATGTAAACCAGTATAATGCAACTTAATAGGGTTTTTTACATGTAAACCAGTATAATGCAACTTAATGGGGATTTTTCCATGTAAACCAGTATTATGCAACTTAATAGGGATTTTTCCATGTAAACCAGTATAATGCAACTTAATAGGGATTTTTCCTTGTAAACCAGTATAATGCAACTTAATAGGGTTTTTTTCATGTAAACCAGTATAATGCAACTTAATGGGGATTTTTCCATGTAAACCAGTATTATGCAACTTAATAGGGATTTTTCCATGTAAACCAGTATAATGCAACTTAATAGGGTTTTTACATGTAAACCAGTATAATGGAACTTAATAGGGGTTTTTACATGTAAACCAGTATAATGGAACTTAATAGGGGTTTTTACATGTAAACCAGTATAATGCAACTTAATAAGGATTTTTACATGTAAACCACTATAATGTAACCTAATAGGGGTTTTTACATGTAAACCAGTATAAAGCAACTTAATAGGGATTTGTACATGTAAACCAGTATAATGCAACCTAATAGGGATTTTTCCATGTAAACCAGTATAATGCAACTTAATAGAGATTTTTCCATGTAAACCAGTATAATGCAACTTAATAGGGATTTTTCCATGTAAACCAGTATAATGCAACCTAATAGGGATTTTTCCATGTAAACCAGTATAATGCAACCTAATAGGGATTTTTCCATGTAAACCAGTATAATGCAACCTAATAGGTTGCATTATACCACCAGACCAAGACCCAAACGAAGACTCAGACCACCACCAGATAATGACCACAGACCAGGTTTCCTTAGTTACAGGAACCAAATTGTTTCAGCGGTGAGGGGATTTTTCAGTTTCAAGGACACTTTCAATACATTCAGTAGTTTCAAGGATTTCAACTGTTTAAGAATTTAACCAGTTTCAAGGATATCAGGAGGTTCAAGGATTTCAGGAGTTTCCACACTTTCAACAGTTTCCAGGTTTAAAAAAAGTTTCAAGGATTTCAGGAGTTTCAATGTTTCAACAGTTTCAAGGATTTCAGGAGTTTAAAGGTTTCAACAATTTCAAGGACTTCAGGAGTTTCAAATATCTATCAAGTATTTTAACAGTTTCAAGGCCTTTTAAAGGATTTCAAGGATTTTTTTTAGCAGATTTCCACATTAGATCTGTTCCGCAGTCAATCGCAATGGCTTCAGCCATTGCAAGTTTCTAGTTTTAGATTAATCTCATAACATTTTGAGATTCAAATTTGAATTAATACACAATATATTTTTAAATTAATCTCATAAAATGTTTGGATTAATCTCTTAATATTTTTTTTATTAATTTCATGATTTTGCTAGTTCGACTTTATTCTAATAATATTTCGACTTTAAAGTCAACAGTTTATGACTTTATTCTCAGTCTGACAAAAGAAGAAAAAGGGTGACTCTTTGGCTCCGTATAATAATTAATGCATACTCTTTGATTTAGGCATGTTGCTGTTTCCTCTGGCGTCTGCACACGGCCCTGCAGTCCCTTTTATGGGGGGTTACCTATGCTAAGTACCTATGCTAATGAATCACCTGGCATGCGCGCTCTACTTACGAGGAGTTGGCATTCAGCAATCTAAGAGAACAGCTGCGAACAATTCAGCGGCTTACAAGCGCGTTGATGAATCCCACGTAGGCTCTTAGAAATCTACTTAGGAACGACTTGAGAAGAAATTTAAGAAGATTCTTAAGAAGATATTCGTGAATGAGGCCCATTGTGAGGACAGCACTTACACTGTTGTGTGTGTTTGTGTATGGTGTGTGGTCGGCTGCATTTGTTTGTGGCAAAGCTACTTTTGCAAATCAGGGCTCACTATAACACCACTTAACTCCACTATGATTCATTTGAATGTGTTCTGAGCAGGAGTGTGCGGATGCAGGCTGGTGGATGGGAGAATTTGGAGGACGACAAGGTGTTTTCCCAGATAATTTTGTCAAGCTGCTAGTGCCAGAAGTGGAAAAAGAGGTAACGTATGCCTAAAAATAGTTTAACTCTCCAACTGTGTGTTTGTGTGTGTGTGTTTTTTTTTTTTTTTTATCCATTCAGCAACAGCGTAAGATAATATATTATTGGGGATTTTTTGATCAAATAAATGCCACCAATTTTATCATAGTTTTGTCATGTTTTGCTAGCAATTTAAATATAGTTTTAATTTGACCACAGTAGTGTATCGTTCATTGCAGCTCTGAGAATTAGTTGGTAGAGAAGTTCATTAATGTACTATATGACAGCAGGAGACTACAAGCTTATGATATTTGCTGTTCTGTGGAATTACTGGTTGTGCAAAATCCGACATATTAAGAGATATTTCAAGTTATGTTTTTGGAAGTCAATATTTAGTGTTCAACTTTTTTCATTGTCCTCAAATTGTCTTTGATTGTCATTGTGTTCACAGAGACCAAAGAAACCACCTCCTCCAAGCACTCCCTCGTCTAAACTCAACACAGGTAAAAAAAAATAAAAAATAAAATATTATGATCATCATACCAAAGCAAAACCCAAAACCCTGTGAATTTTGACATTTAGAAAAAAAGTCAGAGGTAAAGAGGGTCCCTCCAGAGCGACCTGAGTACCTCCCAAGCAGAGAACAGGACAAAGGTAAAGTCTCAAGTCCTGCCGTCGAGCAAATTAAGCCTTTTTTATATGCTACTGGCACATCTGCTTCTTCTTATCCTCCTCTGCACAAATTAAGGTTTCTAAATTCCCATTGACAAGTTGTAATATTATGACTACCTTTATTGTATATACTGCTATTGCTACCGCATGTAATGCTAGAGTCTGATAGACCTCTTTCAAATTTGTGGTTCCTTGAAAAACTAGCCAATATTTTACAAAGAGAAGCAATTATCATATTGATTGATCTTGTAAACAGCGACGCACACATTGGAAAATTGAGAGGATATTGAAGTGGTCGAGATGTTTCTTTGCAAGGCTTTCTGTGGATTATTTAAGCCAACAACTGAAATGGGGAGTGAGGGATGTGCATTGTATTTCTATGGAGAAATAGTCTAAGATGGAAAAATGAGCAGACAATAAGCCATTTTAAATGAAATGTATTTATTTAAACATGCCTGTTCTAATAATAAAGGCTGTTAGACAAATATACTATTTGAATACTACATGTTTATGTGTTGCAGTTTTAATGCAGGTCTAGTGATTTCAGTCTCACTGTTACATTACATTTCAGTTTGTATCACCCAAAATCAGAACACAGTTGTCTCAAAGGACTGCACAGAATTGTCAAGTTGGCAACTTCAGAAAAAACGCATCATAAATATAACAATAAAAAAAGACATTGGTTCAATATCCATATGTCAACAGATCCTCCTGTGTCCAGAAACCCTCGTGCATTGGCAATGTAAAACTGGAAAACGGAGTTAGGGAATTTCTCAATAAGTTTGAGTTCATGCTGATATCTGTACTTTTGAAATGACTGGGACTCATAACCTTATTTCTTGCAACATCGCAATAACACGTTTTAATGCTGTTAGACTGCTTGACCTTCATTGGACCTACTAATACGGTCTTCATGCTTTCAGACGCCGGAGCAGTATCATTGGCTGTTAAAGCAGTTTTGACTCTAGCTTTAGACTAAGCTTTTTGAGTTCATCCCAATCCTAACCTTTTATCCTATATCAATCTTTCCTTTATCCTGTCCTAACCAGCAGTGATGCATGTGCTTTCACTTTTGTTCAGTAACTTTTCCTGGTTGTATTTGCCTCCTGATGTCTGTACCTGTGTATGTGCATGTAGGTGACGAGCTGAAGCCTGCAGACATCCCTAAGCCCTCCTTACCTTCTGTCCTGCCCAAGAAACCCCTGCCCCCCAAAACCAACAACTCTTCCTCCTCTTCCCATCCTCCGAGACGCCCCGAGAGACCACCCACACTCTCGTCAGTACATTTGAGACTACACATCAAAATACAGACGTTTATAGAAATCCCACAAACTCTTAATTTTGGTCTGCTGTCCCAGGTGTGAGAGCCCCAAAACTGAGGTCAGATCTACCACCCCAGACCCCGCTCCTGATAGATCACAAGACGCCGGTGAGAAACCAGTCAGATGAGGGGTTAAGGAACTGCCAATGAAACAAGTCCAGGAGATACTAAGAGCAGTTTTCTGCCTTTTTCAAACAAAATCTTTACATTAGTTTTGGAAATGGTAAATTGACAAAGTCAACTCCTCCCCTCTCGTAACTTTATAAATCATGGAATGACAAAATACATTATCATTTGTTAATGGCCAAAAATACGGCATCATATTTGTTTAAGAGGAGGGTAAAAAAAAGCATAAAAACAATAACAAAATGTTTTTACAGAAAAATGGTCACGTTCTAATGTTGTTTCAACTTCACAATATTACTTCTCAGTACAAGCTCAAAAGGCGAAGGCTGAAGCAATTTAACGTGTCGTCTAATGTATTGATCCAATCGCTAACTCTGGCATCAAAGTTATTTCTATTTTTCTCCAGTAGAAAATACAAGAAACTTACGGGAACTTTCCCACTCAGCAGAAAGTATACTTAATTCCCAAACGTGAAAGCAAGGTAAAGTTCAAGGTGCACTTTATTGATCCCCATAGGCCAGGGCAATTCATCCTCTGCATTTGACCCATCTTGATGCCACTAAGGCTTACGTCAGGAGCAGTACACATGTTAAAAACAATAGCCTCTTATGTGAGAAATATCAAGTGTTTTAGTCCAGGTTTGGATTCAGGCGCATACCTCATCTGACTTTTTTCTATTGGCTCAAACTAATGCAGTGTTTTCATGTGTTTTGGCAGACATGGATTTAGATTCAGTCATTGCTTCTACAGACAAACTCGTTCATCCAACAGTATCACGGCCGCGAGTCTTAGATAGACGGCCGAGGTCCCAGATCTTCCCCCCAGTGAGTAACGGTCTGATCCAAACACATAACACAGGTGCTGTTAAATAGTGAGTGCTAATATAAAGTGTTACCAGCTTTATTCATTCAATTTTAAAGAATCTTCGTGATAAACAGAGCTTGAAGTATTTATTTTGTATTTATTTTTAGACTGAGGAAGACTTAAATAATGCAGTGAGCCTATAGAGGGATCCTACGGTCACGTGACTAGCAGCCACGGCAGCCATACTGGAGGACAACCTCAGCGAGTAACAGCCCTGTTAGCTATCTATAACTGGACGTTCAAAACTAGAACTCTCTCGAACTACATGAAAACTGAACAGAGAATTTGAAACTTCAGCAGTTAGTGACCCAAATATATACTCAACCTAAATTCATGAATCAGATCCTCTGAAAATGCATCCTAAAATGTATTATTAATGTTTATCGTTACATCCAGGTTTACCGCGGTCGCATATTGTCGCATTAAAACAGTGTTTTTTCATGAAAACGTGAACAGAAAATTCTGAAAACCTCTGTGCATGTGTATTAAGAATGTATATGTATAATGTATTCTCCGATTAACATTTAATGTGTTTATTGTTACACCATGGATTTATGTGTGGCTACACTGCAGTGGAAATAATGAGATTACATTCAAATCAATGGAGCTTTCTGCGTCTACTGTGAGGAGCCGTATATTTTATTAATAAATACTAGTACGGGGCACCCTCGAGCACGGCTCAGTCGTTCACATGTCTGCTGGCCTTCGGTAAGTCAGATACCCTGTGAACAGCTATGCTACAAGCTAAGCTACAGTCTATGGAGCAACCCCACGTTGCAGTCAGACAGATATGTTTATCCTTAAACTTCTGTTTGTTTCGGAATAACACTAAATCCGCCATCAAATTGATTTCACTTAGCAGAAATGAAATGATCCGAGCATATTCGGGCGCTCTGGGGGCTATTAGTGTTTTGTTGTTGCGTATGGTTGTGCCATTTCTCTCTCGTTTCTTTGAGATGTCTTCTGTTTTTGAGCCGTGTGAAGTAAGGACGGCTGGCAGTCGGTAACATAACTTATTTTCCCTGTCTCTCCTTTTGCTGCAGCCAAAAACGGCAAACATTTTGAACATGTTTATGCGGTCCCGGGTGCACGCCACTATCATACAGCGTTTGCTTGTCCTCCAGTATGGCCGATGCCCCGCGAGTTCGAGGCATCGTGACGTCACGTGAGATATCTCTATAGGCTTTAAGAGATTCCTTTTGCTCTGCCATTGATGTTAATATTATACAGACATATTCTGTTAAAAAATATGACTGGATTAGCCACAATTAGATTATCCATTTCTTGTGCATGTCCTGGTATAATGAATATGAAGGTTATTTTGTGTTTTTATTATCAACACTTTTTTTTGCTTTTGAATTCTATAAACTGTAACAAAAAAGTATTCAGTGTAAATAAATTCAATGTTTTGAAATTCAGTGTCCAAAAATGCAATGTTTTAAAATTCAGTGTCCAAAATATTCAATGTTTTAAAATTCAGTGTCCAAAAATTCATTGTTTTAAAATTCAGTGTCAAAATATTCAATGTTTTAAAATTCAGTGCCAAAATATTCAATGTTTTAAAATTCAGTGTCCAAAAATTCAATGTTGAAAAAAAATCAGTGTCCAAAAATTCGTTGCATTTTTTTTCGCTGCTTGAAAACAACAAAACATTGAATATTTTGACACTGAATTTTAAAACTGAATTTTAAAACAATGATTTTTTTGACACTGAATTTTAAAACATTGAATATTTTGACACTGAATTTTAAAACATTGAATTTATTTACGCTGAATACTTTTTTGTTACAGTTTATAGAATTCAAAAGCAAAAAAAAGTGTTGATTATAAAAACACAAAATAACCTTCATAAATGAACACACCGCTGTTATACTCTACTTTACTCTTATCTTTTCAATACATAATAATAAAATGTGTTGTCTGTAAAATGTCTCACTCCAATCACACCAATCTTTACAATCCACTCTTATGCTTTTTTGTCGTTGTTTTTCAGTCATCGTTATCCACAGCAGAGCTCCTGGACTCTGCAGATGACAGAAAAGACAAAGACCGAGGAAAAGAGGAACCAGAGCCTGTGTCTTTGAAGAAATCTGTCCCTGTAAGAGCCAGTGCACCAGCTACACCCCACCAGCAGAGAGAGACAAAAATCATGCCACAATGTTGCATTAAGTATCAGATTGGATTAAAAGCTGGGGTACCTAGCTTTCAAACTACAAAATAATTGAACTACTTAATAAAATCTAACTAGTTCCTCACTCTCAAAGCAGTTTTGTTATTTCACAGAAAAGTGAAAAAGAGAGGCACGTCCTCTCTCTGCGCACTTCCCTACTGTGGGACTAATAAAGGCCATTCATTCTAGGATTCTTTCCTACCTGTATACAAAAGACGATAAAGAGAATGTGTTTATGAACAAAAAAATTAACACCTTAGATTAGCCCTCAGTAATTAACATCCAAGTGCTAATTTGTGTACCCTAATGGTGCTTTCAGACCGCCAACGCTGAAGCCCCGCTCACCAGACGCGCATTCTGTAGTTTTCAGACGCACAGGCCTTCACACCGAGATGTCCTGACGCGCACCGGAAGTGCTGGAAGTAGCCGGCCGGCTCTGATGCTAACAGAGTTTAGCTAGCGGCTTCTTGTGTACAGATCTTCTCTAATATGCAGCTTTGCAGCGTGTCTTTGCTCAGAGACCTTCCACGGGCTTTATACAACAGTAATATGTGTTCACGGAGGTGCGCCATACGTTTCTTTCATATTATTAAACGGTATTTTCGCATCGGCGAACACACTCGAAGCAGTTCTACGTCATGGTGCTACGTCCCTTAGGACTTCGCTAGTGGGATATCACGTGACCCCCAGGTCACAGACGCCAGAGAGATCAAAATAATTTGCTCCAATCACCAGCCACCTTCCTCTATAAATGCCCCTGCACAAGGCCGCACCCCCTCTTTCACTCTGGCGCCGTTTGAGATCTACATTCGTTACCTGAGAAAGAAAGATGTCTTCTGATGCACGTCCGAGTTCCCCTTCGCCATCCGGCGTCGGACGTCGTCGTTGCTCGACCTGTCGGGGCAAGCTCCAACGCAAGGACCAGCACTCCAGCTGCTTCATGTGCCTGGGTGCGGGCCATGCGGCGTTGAGCGCCACCTGCGCCTCGTGTGTCGCTCTCCCCAGGGAGGAGAGTGAACGCAGGCGCGCGTTCTTCGCCGCTACAGCGCCCCGTCCGGACTCCTCTAAGGACGAGGAGTCTGAGATTGACTGGGCCCCCCTCGACATTCCACCTGTGCCCGCGGAGTGGGGTGACTGCGAGGACGGAGAGGTGTCGGAGGTCGGCTCTCTCCTCACGCTGGACGAGGTGGTGTCCAACCCGGAGCCGGACCGCTTCCCGCTGGACCACATGCCTGGGCTCTACGCCACGGCGGCGGCCATCATGGATGCCCCCCTGCCACCGCAACCGAACCAGAGGGTGGAGGACTTCACCTCTGGGTACGCAGCCCCTCGAGGGAGGAGGAGAGCCCAGCCCACGTTGTGCCCGCGTATGGACCCGATCGTCCATTACGCGACACGTGAGTGGCCAAAACCCCTAGCGGCCAAGAGGCCCGCTTTGGGGTATGGCATGTACTGCAACGTGCAGGACTGGTCCTGGACAGGCGGGGTCCCGGACATCGAGGACTCGGTTCGGGCGGCCCTGCACCCCTCCTCATCCGTGTGGCCCAGCACCAGACCTCTCCTTCCCTCCGAGCGGGAGAGGATGTCTCTGGCTATGCATGACAGATGTTACGCCAATGCGGCTCAGGTCGTCGCGGTGGCGAACAACATGGCTTTCATCACCGGGGCCCTGGATAGGTCTCTCTCCTCTGACCAGGCACTCAGTGGAGACACCTTAGCCCAGGCGAGGACCACTTCAGCAGCGATCTTGCGCATGTGCCAAGCGCTAGCTGTCGATGGCGGCCGCTCTATGGCAGCAGCCCAGGTCGGGGCCAGACACCTCTGGCTGGGGGCGGTGAACCTCAGAGAGGCGGAGAAGAGGCAGCTGCTGGACCTGCCCATCTCCCAGACGTCGCTCTTCGGTCCGGAGATGCAGACGCTGATGACGAGGCTGGACAGCGCGGCTAAGGACTCGGCTAGCCTAGCAAAACACCTAGCTACGAGACGCGAGGCCCGCCCACCAGCGCGGAGCCGAGACAGAGGCAGGGAGCGCTCGCCTGGCAAGCGCCCCGGACCATATCCACGCTCCGTGGTCCATCGTTCCCCAGCGGCGAGACCCCCGGGCCCAGACAGGCACACGGGAGGTTCGCGGGACCAACACACCCATCGACGGCCTCCCTACGGTAGAGGAGGTCGGGGTGGTAAAAACTCTTTCAATAAAGGCCGTCCGGCATTTCACCAGTACTCGCTGTCTGAGTCTCATTTGGGGGTATGTAACATGTCAAATGATTTGAATTCTGTTTGTGTTACTTCTCGAGCATATAACGTGGCTCCGCCAGGCCTGCAGCCCCCAGAGAAGGGCGTGCAGCGCGCTGTGCAGACCACGAGCTCCGATTCACGGGTTCATGTTTTGCCCTCCCGGAGAGAGGGCAGGCGGAGGGATCTGATAAGTGCTAATGTGTGTGCTCCGGGCGCTAGCGTGTTAGCATCTCTGAGCTACAAGGCTAACACGGGGTTTCCCAATCCAGGGGCTCTCCCCCCCCTCCATGAGGCAAGAGCCAAGGGGGGGCGCAGCAGCCGTGTCACGCGTGATGAGCCGAGCTACATTGCTAACACGGGGTTTCCTAATCCAGGGGCTCTTCCCCCCCTCCATGAGGCAAGAGCCAAGGGGGGGCGCAGCAGCCGTGTCACGCGTGATGAGCAGAGCTACAATGCTAACACGGGGTTTCCCGATGCAGGGGCTCGCCCCCCCCTCCAGGAGGCAAGAGCCAGGGGGGGGCGCAGCAGCAGCCGGGTCACGTGTGGTGAGCAGTCCCGTACTTATGACGTCGGACCTGCAGAACACGTGACCGCCCTCGGCGCTCACGGTGTGACGCAGGGGCCCCCCCGGCCCTTTCAGCCACCCCCCCTCCCTGCTAGGAACACCAGGAGGGGGCGGGGCCATGACGTCTCGTGTTCCAGCTCCCGTTCCGCCCCTCACAGATTTCTACGACATCTGGAAGGAGCAGGGCTTACTGTCAGATGTTTGGCTGGAGAAAACTCTGCGCAGAGGTTACGCTCTGCAATTTTTCCGAAAGCCACCACCATTCCGAGGCGTACGGGCAGTACGCCCTCAGGTACGGGGATCGACAGAGGCACTGGAAGCAGAGGTCTCCTCCCTGCTGAGTCGAGGCGCAGCAGTGGAGGTAGACCCGCAGGACGCCACCAGGGGGCTGTACTCCCCTTACTTTCTGGTGCCAAAGAAATCAGGCGGGGTGCGTCCCATTCTGGATCTGCGCGTGTTAAACGAGTGCATTTCCAAACGGCAGTTTCGGATGCTGTCCACAAGGCAGCTCCTCGAGTGTGTCAGGGAAGGAGACTGGATGACATCCATAGACCTGACAGACGCATACTTCCACGTACCCATAGTGCCAGAACACAGGAGATTTCTGCGCTTCGCAGTGGGAGAGAGGAATTACGAGTATTGCCGTCTCCCTTTCGGGTACGCTCTCGCGCCTCGCACTTTTTCCAAATGTGTGGAAGCGGCTCTGGAGCCGATCAGACGTGCCGGGGTAAGAATATTGACCTATATAGACGATTGGTTAATACTGGCCCCATCCAGGGAAGTGGCCGTGAGCCACACGCAATGGGTCTTGTCCCACATACAGCGTCTGGGCTTTGTGGTGAACAGGGAGAAGAGCAAGCTGCAGCCAGCCCAACGCATGATTTACCTCGGTCTGCAGCTAGACTCTGTGATATTCCGTGCTGCATTGTCCGTGGACAGACGGACGAATATTACCCGTCTGGCCCGGGAGGTTCTGGCGGGCCCCAGAGTTCCCGCTCGGCGCCTCAGGTCCCTGCTGGGGATGATGGCAGCGGCTCATGCTGTGGTGCGGCTAGGCCTGCTCCACATGAGAAATTTTCAGAGGTGGTTCTCGCGCCTCAGGCTTCACCCCTCCCGGGACGGGGGGAGGCTGATCTGGGTTCCCCAAGGGGCAGCATCGGACATCAGGTTCTGGCTCACTCCGGGTCTACTGCGGGACGGAGTGACTCTGGCCTGCGCTGTGTCTCACGCCGAGGTGTTCACGGACGCGTCGCTCGAAGGATGGGGCGGGGTCCTCGGCCAGAGCTCTGTAGGAGGCTGCTGGTCGGACTCAGCCCGTCACATCAACCTGCTGGAGATGGAGGCAGTGCACAGAGTACTGCTGCACTTTGCCCCTCAGCTGCAGGGGAGACACGTGATGGTGCGCTCAGACAACACCACAGTGGTCTCCTATCTGAACAGGCAGGGGGGCACCAGGTCCCCCGCTCTCCATCGCATGGCGACGGTGACGCTGCTGTGGGCGGCGCTTCACCTCCTGTCTCTCAGGGCGCGCCACGTCCCGGGGGTCCGGAACGTGGGAGCCGACAGGATGTCCAGGGGGGGCCCACTCCAGGACAAGTGGGGCCTGGCCCCACGGGTAGCCGCGGAGATCTGGCGGAGGTTCGGTCGTCCAGTAGTCGACCTTTTCGCCAGTGCAGAGAACGCACAGTGCCCGTCCTGGTTCGCCTTAAGGGCCGCGGACGAGCCGCCTTTAGGCGTGGACGCTCTGGCTCATTACCCATGGCCAGGCGGCCTGTTGTACGCTTTTCCACCGGTGCGTCTCCTGCCGGTCCTACTGCGGAGGATCGAACAGGAGAGGAGGTCGGTGATTCTGGTGGCTCCGGACAGCCCGCATGCCCGGTGGTTCCCCTTCCTGAGGGGCATGGCGGTGATGGAGCCCTGGGCCCTCCCGGACGAGCCGGGGGCTCTAGTCCAGGGGGCAGGAGCCCTGTTTTCACGTCCGATAATCGGCCGCAGGCTCTGGGTTTGGAGGTTGAGAGGCGGAGCCTCGTAGATCTGGGTCTTCCCCCTGCGGTGGTGGAGACAATTCAGGGAGCGAGGGCGCCGTCCACCGTGAGGGCCTACGCCACGAGGTGGAGGCCATTCAGTGCCTGGTGCGATTCCCGCTCCTGGGATCCCAGGTTTTGCCCGCTGGAGGGGGTCCTGGGATTCCTACAGGAGCTTTTCGACAAGGGGAGGGCTGTCGCTACCTTGGCGGTGTTTGCGGCAGCCATTACTTCAGGTCACGACGGGTTCGGGGGGTTCACAGCCCGCTCTCACCCGTTGATTAAACGTTTTCTGCGGGGGGCGCGCAGGAGGAGGCCCCCGCTCCAGAGAGAACGCCTCCGGTTTGGGACCTCAGGGTGGTCCTTAGGGGGCTGTCGGGTTCGCCTTTTGAACCGGCGGCGGAGGCGAGTCCCGATTGTATCGCTTTTAAGACGGCCCTCTTGCTGGCGTTGGCGTCTGCAAAAAGGGCGGGCGATTTGTGTGCGCTCTCAGTCCATGCGTCGTGCCTGTCCTTTGGAGAGGACGACGGCATGGTGGAGTTGTGGCCCAATCCGGCTTTTCTCCCCAAGGTCATCACGTCGGCCTTTAGGTCGAGAGTGATCAGGATTAGGGCTTTCCACCCGCCGCCGCATGCCTCCCCCGAGGAGGAGCGGCAGCACCTTCTGTGTCCTATCAGAATGCTGAGGCATTACCTGGCCATGACGTCGTCATTCAGGTCGGGTGATCAGCTGTTTGTGTGTCTGGGCCCCAAGAACAGGGGCGCCCCGCTGTCGGCTCAGCGGCTGGCGCATTGGGTCGCCACGGCGGTGCGACGGGCGTATCAGGCGCAGGGCCTGGCCCCCCCGGTGGGTTTCAGGTCGCATTCCACGCGTGGGATGGCGGCCTCTACGGCCCTTCTCAGGGGGGCGTCGGTCGAGGACGTTTGCCGTGCGGCTCTTGGGCGTCGTCCTCCTCTTTCGTCCGGTCTTATCTTTCGGATGTGTCGGACCGGTCGGTGGCCCATTCCGTGCTGAGTGCAGCGGATTGAGTTGGACCGTTGGGTCCCTCCCCTGAGGAGTGGGCCTTCGGTCTATTTTCCGCCCTGGTGCAGGAGCTCTTGGGAGAGGCATCCTACAGGTGCGGTACATATATGTGTGTTTGATCGGTCTGGTAGTCTACATCAGGAGCTCTTGGGAGAGGCGTCCTGTGACTACGGTTGACCTACGATTGGTGTTACGTGGGGGCGTCCTTGGTAGGAGTGGCCCGGTAACACGCTTTGTTTCTTCTGCCCTGAGTCCTCTCACGGTGTGAGGGTCTTGCTCGGGCGGAGCTCCAATCACCCTTCGCTGGCCTGCTGGGAGTACATGTTCCTACGGCCTCCGCGTTGTGTCCCACTAGCGAAGTCCTAAGGGACGTAGCACCATGACGTAGAATTAATAGTTACCTAATGTAACTTAAGTTCTACGAATAGGTGCGTAGTCCCTTAGCTACGAGCCCATCAGGCCAGCCCGGCTTGGCAGAGTTCAAGAGGGGGTGCGGCTGTGTGCAGGGGCATTTATAGAGGATGGTGGCTGGTGATTGGAGCAAATTATTTTGATCTCTCTGGCGTGTGACCTGGGGGTCACGAGTGATATCCCACTAGCGAAGTCCTAAGGGACTACGCACCTATTCGTAGAACTTAAGTTACATTAGGTAACTATTAATTGCATAAGGTCCCGGGAGCATGACAACGCATATTTTCACAAGCACATAGTCCCCCATTGTCAACCCTGGTTTGAGTTCTGGTGAGTTCTGTGGGTCCTGTTTTGGCTGTTTACGAGTATTTTCAGTCTGCTCGCTCAGTCCGCTAATGTCCCTGTGACCACTTTGCGGCTCTCTGATTGGTCGCTGCACGAACGTCCCAAGGAAAGGATGAGCAGAATCCGTCTCCTGTGGGCGTCGATTTTTCGCTCCCGCTCCTCCCCTTTGACTTTCCCGCCAAGTCCGTGCGTGTCTACTGAACAGTCCGTGTGTGCGTGCCGAGAGGTCCGTGCGTTGTGACGCTCTAAAGCTCGTCACCACAGACTTTGCATTGAAACCCGACGCAACGCATGATCCGGTCTGAACACACCATAACCCACATGGGGACGTGTCAGTTAGTAGTTGGTTAGATGTTGAATAAGGCCATGTAGAAAAAGGACTAAGTGCTTAATAAATACCAATTCAGAGCTAATTAACCATAAATTGTACACTAATTAGCACTTAATTAACTGTTTATAAGCGAGCGCTAAATTAAAGTGTCACCAAAAGTTCTTTACCCCAGCTTTAACTGTTGTCCTTTTGTTTTAGGTCAAAATGGACCGAAAGTAACTTGTCTGTAACTGTTAATCTTACTGCTAATTTACACAGGAGGCATTACAGCATGTAAGTGTTGTACGTGCAGCATACCTGTGTAACATTTCTCCATTTTAACCTATGATGATATTTACACTAGTGTTACACGTGCATATGACGGACATATTGACGCGAGGCTGCGCCTAAATTAGAATGGGTTTCTAATTTTGCGCGCACAGTAACATGTCTCCCAGTCAAAACACATGGGAAACAGGATTTTTCTAGCGGTCCTTGGCTCGAGATCAGCTCCACACACACACACACTTGTGGAGGCACACTTGTATCTACATTAGGTGGAGTAGCAGGTTTTACAGTGATTCTGGACATAATTTCTTTTTCTTAAAGTCTTGCGTCTGGCCAGACCAGCTTAGAGACCATCTACCTCTACACTTCTCCATAGACTACACAGGGACAGCATCAGCAGCCGCGGACCTGTGCGCACGGCCAGTGTAAACACAGCCGCGTAATGTTACGCGCAGACAACGCTTACGCGCTGTGAACGCCTACTGTGTAAATTCACAGTTTTTATAAAATGTATGTTTTTTAGGTGGCGCAAACTTTGACCAGTAGCACAATGGTGTAATTTGTTCTATTGCATGTGTTTTATTCTTCTGATGCAGTGTGTTTGTCTGCACAGGTTCCTGACAGTAAAGCTGCTATCCCAGTCAAACCCTCGTCTCTGAACCCTCCGAATGCAGTGCTCCGTCCCGCCTCCCCCTCCGCCGGTCTGAGCCCCTCCCCCGAGTTGCGGCACTCTCCCCTGACTCCGCCCACTGTGGAGGAGCTCCGAAGCCAACTGCGAGAGCTGAGGACCACGGTGGAGCTGCTGAAGACACAACACAGGTCTGAACCAAGCATGTAGACTGTAGAGTAGACTGTAGAGTAGACTGTAGAGTAGACTGTAGAGTAGACTGTAGAGTAGACTGTAGAGTCGACTGTAGAGTCGACTGTAGAGTCGACTGTAGAGTCGACTGTAGAGTCGACTGTAGAGTCGACTGTAGAGTCGACTGTAATGTTTATAGATGGACAATGCATTTGTCTCCAGATTTCCACCCATGGGAATTTTCACATAGCAACAAACCGAGCCAATTAGAAAGGCTAATCCCTTGCTTAAGCTGACATTGGGGGGATAAGGCTCTTGATTTCATTTTATTGGCCATATCTTTAACCACAAATGAAAAAACCAGGACCATGAGGATCATGTAGACTGTTTATAATTGCATTTTCTCAATGCAATAAACACATGTGTGTGTTTAGTCTGACCTTAGTCTAGTTTTTAATTGCTTAACAAATTTGGCTCTAGATTCCAGTTATATTCACAATGTTTCTGTGTGTTACAGACAGGAGATGAAGCAGCTGGCCACATCTCTGGACGAGGAGAAGAGAATTCGTATTAGTTTACAGGTCAGCCAATGTGTTTACCTCTTTACCCACAGAAAACATATGTTGATAATAAAAAGCTTTCTTTGATTTCTTTACAAACATATTTAATTATATACTATAATACTTTCTGTGTTTCTATTGGTTGACAGATACTGTATTTCCATAAAAAAGATGTATTAATTACTTTCTCCACACACGTGATGACAGAAGTATTGTGCCAGTCGTTCCTTAATAGTGTAGGTGGAGATAAAAACTACTCGAGGACCGTGATGAGGAAACAATGTTAAAACGATGTTGAAACACTCAAGAGACAAGTGAATATTTCTCATGCATGTGCTTACCATGATTCTTTCTTTCAGATGGAAGTAGAGCACATAAAGAAGAGCCTGTTGAAATGAGCCTCGATCTGTCTCCATCAGACTCTCCTCTGCCAAAACATCAGCCAAAATTTCAGTTTGTGCCAAAACTGCATTGACTCCTTCTTTTCTGTCACATCTGCCCCACCGTCGCCTTATCCTCTGTTCAAATGCTTTTTTGTTTACCGCTGCATTGACCATGGGAGCTGCCCAGACAGTGCTTACAGATATACAGAGGTGGAAAAAGTTTTAGTATTGTTCATACAATTAATCTAATTGTAGCTCATATTGAAAATTGACATTCAATGAAAGGCTATGGAAACCTCAACCCTCAACGAAGCTTCATGCGTTACATTAAAAGCATACATATATACACATTTATATATGTTAAAAACTTTTGAGTCAGTTATATGGTTCCTACTCCCTGCAATGAAAAGAAACAGACTGTGTTTTACATAAAGGAAAACATGCATTTGTTTGAATAAGTTGAATAGTCAGGTGTTGGCTGAAGGCAAATTGATGATTAGAAAATCCTAGTTAGCACCTTAATCAAACTCGTACAATTGACTGGAGGACCTCTTTGTGTTTTAAAAGTCTTAAACTTGCCTGAATGGATTTTCAATTTGTATAGCACAATTTATATACAAGGCAAGTAGGCAACTCAAAGTGCTGAACAAAACAACAAAAGATGGAAACAATCACACAAGGAATGAAATTCATGAATAATCACAGTACATTAAATACATTTTTTTCAGTTGTATACACATCTAAACAAAATTGTTTTTCAACCTGGATTTGAAAATTATCAGAGAAGAAGCCTGTATCAAATTGCCAGGAAGACTGTGCCAAATTTTAGCTTAAATGCTGCCTCCCCATGTTTAGTTCTGACCCTGAGGAGCACTAGGACTGGTCTCCTACTGACTTTAAAGTCTATTCTGAGACACAGGAAGCCAGTACAGAGACCTGAGAACTGGACAATTGTGGTCATACTTCCTGGTTCCAGTCTACTCGAGCTGCAGCGTTTGAAAGGTGATATGTTGCTGCAGTATATTCAAACTACTTCCACCCCTGTGTATAAGTCTGGCTGCTTTTCCAAGAGCAGTGTTTCTGGTACCACCTTAATTTTATGTTCTAATATTCTTGTTTTTGAACAATGTGAGATGGACCACTGTAGCCACGGCCGGTTCAGATGTGCTGTACCCACTCGGAGGCCTTTGATTATTGATATCCACCTGTGAGAATGAAAACTATGTTTGGAAAGGCTTTGATTACATGACCCAAAAGTGGCTGGGATTTTGTTGTGTTATTATTTTCATTATTATACATTCCAAAGATACAAGCTATCTGTGCATCAATATATGATATGTTGTTATTAGCAAAGGCCTGAAATATAATATTGAATTTGTTTATTCAACAGTTTCATTCAAATGGTTTGGGTCTCACAATGATGTCAAAAACTTCATACACGTTACAATAAATGTGTAATGAGAATTCCTGTTTCCATTGAACATCAATGGAGATATGCTCTTAACTTATGATTTATTATAAACTTCACAGTGTTGAAGAGTTGTCTGCCCTGAAAAGACTAGACTGGAGGCATAATATGGATAGAATGTCGATCAATGTGCATTGTTCTTTATTGGCCATTGAACCAAATAAATATAATTAGTCAACCAGATGTGTGTGACCACTACACTCTTATTAGAATGTACAATTCAATCTCAATTTGATAGAAAATTACATCATAAAACATGTACTCATGTCATGTAATCGTATTGATACAAAGTCAGGTTACAATATGAAAGGAAAAAGTATGATTTGAGCCACTTTTGTCTTTAGTGTGAACAAAGCCTGAGCAGGATCTTAAAGTGCAGATGACAGGATTTAAAGATTCAAATAAAACTGTACTTTTTTCCCCAGTGTCCCAAAGATTCCCTTGTCTGATGTCATTTTGTAATCTAGAAAGAAAATTACAAACCTAAAAATAGTAAAAAAATAAAAAGTAATTTCAAGCACAATCTGAAAAGTTCAACCTGTCATGTGCACTTTGAAATGCAGAGTTACTGGAAGCGAGGACTTTATTTCTGATTTCTTGTTATTTGTCCAGTGTGTTAAACACTGAGCTGATGTTTCCATTGAGGTACACTGCTCTTTTAATATCTAAATAGTTAGAAAAAATAATAATAATTTAATTGGCAGTCAAAGGCCTGACCTCTACAATTCAAAGGAATATCAAACCTTTTTTCTTCTTAATGATGATTGTCCTTTAGAATTTTCCAATAATTTATATAGTTTTGTAATGGCCTTAAAGTAATTATGATTACTTAGAAATGTTTAGTTGCACTTTCAAAATGGCTTTATTTTAGCTGCATTATTAGTGCCCAGGCTGTGCAGTTTTAGCAATTTTTCCACTAATAGAATTAAGGACAGTTTTGGCTTTCATCAAGTTTCCCACATTTCCATTTTTCTTGAGTATTTTAATTGTATTTATTTGTGTCCTTATTTTTGGATGTTTTTTTTTAATCTCTTATGAAGTTTCAGGGAGCTCCACATGTTATCCTTTTTCACATCAGGTTTCTGACGCAGTCTGGCACCTAACTTCATTTGAGGCCATTCAGCTGGCTTTAACTTTGGCTGTTGGTGATGCAGGAATAAGATTAGTTATACACATAGCCCATCGTTAAGTTGATTGGGAACAACGATCTCACTTCATTTTAGCTCGTCTGGTCATCCAATTAGCACAGTGCTAACTATTATTGCTAAATTGCTAACAAACCATTCCTGCTGTTTTTATTGGCACACTTGATCTCTAATCTCCAAACTCCACCCAGTTGATATTTGACTGCCAATTAAATAACTACTTGAACACATATGGACACATAGCTTTGTTCCATTGCCTTTTTATATTATTTGCATTTTTGCACCTCATGCTCAGCTCCAAACAATTGAACTGATGTCCGTCCACCTCTTTCTCAGATCAAACTTGGGATACATACTTCGCACAGGGTCAAAGGAATGTAGTCTGCAAAAGTTCTGGAAAATAGAGTGTTTTCTATCTGTGTGCATGCATGTTCTGAAGAGCGTATGGCTTCCTTAAATGTGCACAGAATCTATGGCAACCCGTCACTGTGGCCTTCCTGTTTCAAATGATGTTCATGTTATTTGTTACTCCAGTTTCTTTTGTATGACGACACGACACACAAAATACTGCTACAGATGAGCTGCAAGACGTTTGTTTTTTCTTCTATCATGAGTTTTAGTCCTTTCTCTCCAGGATAGTGAAATATATAAATATATACTTTTATATTTCCGTGTAATAAAGATGAAATTATGTACAACATGTCTAATATGTTCACGAATATTATTTGTTTTAATCAAAGAAAAGTAGTAAATTTATGACATCTTGAGTTACATTTTAAAATAGAGGTGTAAATGATCCGTGGCCTATGGTATTTTGAATCCAAATATACTTTCAAATAACATTCAATACATTTGAAAAATACATTATTGAAAATAATATGTTCATTAATGTTTGGGAAATGTCTTTGATGTCCGTTTTATCTTCAGGTATTATTTTGAGTGATTATCTTCAAGAAATATGTCAGATCGATGGCCAGTGTCCATTAATGGCATTAAAGGCAAAAGTAACACCATCACAGAGAATCAATCAATAAATGTAAAACTTAAACTACAATAAATCAAACGTAAACTTAGAATAAGACTTCATAAAGCAGTTATATTGCAGCAGAATTCTAACATAAAAATAATTTGAACTGTTAATAATTAAACATGTATTATAACTTTACTTCTAAGGACGACATGCTAAACAAACAATAGTCACAAAAGAATACTCTGAGATGTCATGACTTTGCTTGTTAGCAGGACGCTGGTTACATATGACAGAAGGCCTTTAAACAAATCCATAGATTGAAGTCCAGTAAAAAACAGCAGTTTGCGTCACTCTGGGTCATGTTCTCTTCCTTTGAGATGTGCGTCTCAGGTTGAGGTCTCTCCAGTTTTGAGTAAAGCTGTTGGTTCTCCAGTCTCAGTTCAGTTATTTTACTGAATAACAACTGTCAAGCTGAGAGGTTTCTGATGGACCTGGAAAATATAAACATGTATTAATTAAACACATCTCTATTGAAATATTATATAGCGGAAGAGCTCTGAGCTGCTCCCTGGACTCTGTGGAGGAGGTGAGGGACAGGAAGGTGCAAGTTAAAGTCACCTCCATCATGGACAACACCTCCCACCCACTGAACAGGACTGTAGAGGAGCTGAGGAGCTCCTTCAGTGGAAGACTGAGACACCCCCAGAGCACTAGGACTGAAAAACCAGCACTGCTATAGCCACTTTTTATTGAACAAAATATATCCTGTGCAGGCTATAATATTAACCTTAACATGTTTGCACACTTCCTGTATTTTTTGCACAACCTGAGTGATACTATCTATGCCAAATGTGACATGTACAGTACAGACCAAAAGTTTGGACACACTTTCTCATTCAATGAGTTTCCTTTCTTTTCATGACTATTTACTGTAGATTCACACGCAGGCTGTGTAAGGGCTATTTGACCAATAAGGAGAGTGGCGGGTTCTGGGCCAGATGACCTGGCCTCCACAGTCACTGGACCTGAACCCAATCCAGATGGTTTTGGGGTGAGCTGGACCACAGAGTGAAGACGAAAGAGCCAACAAGAGCTAAGCATCTCTGGGAACTCCTTCAAGACTACCTCTTGAAGCTCATCAAGAGAATGCCAAGGGTGTGCAAAGCAGTAATCAGAGCAAAAGGTGCTCCGAGAATATAAGACATATTTTCAGTAATTTCAGATTCAGATTCAGATTCAGTTTATTTGCCATTTGCAGTAAAGAAAACACATTGGAATACATTAGCAAAAGTCTCCAGTGTGCACAGACAAATACAGACATAAAACAACATTAAAAGACAAAAATAAAACAAATAAAACAGTAAACAAATGTCACTGTGAAATCGATCGACTAAAACAGTTTCAAAACAAGTGCAAATCATTAAAGTGTTCT